TGTGGACTGTAGGGGTTTTCAGCTAATTTTAAAAAATCGTGTTTGGGCTGTAGAGGTTCCAGGTAAGGGGGCATACTCTGGTTAAATAAAAGTTGTTCAATTTGCTTATAAATTTATTTATGAAATGGTTATAGAAAGGGCTGCAACTGGTCCAAGTTTCACCATCACACCCTAAACAGAAAAGGAGAAAAAAAATACACAACGTATTATGCAACGAATCTTCAACATTCTCAAATAATCTCAGGGAACACATGTGTCATCTAAAATGTCTACTATGTGCTGTAGAAGCACAAACTCTTGTAATAATTGTAATATGTATGTGCAATATATATATATGTAATTTTTTTTTTTTTTTTTTTTTTGGCCAATTTCTTTTTTCGTTTGTTATCAAGGGATTTGCATGAAACTTGCACAGCTTGCTCAATGGATGCCTATCTGCAAGGGTACCAATTATGAACGAAATCTGTCGAAGTCAAGCTCAGCTACAGGTGGCCGAACTTTGATCTTTATTTACTCAGGAAAGTAATTTACAACTTCAAAGTACTTCATAGCTTTCATTTATTAATCAATTTACATGCAAATTACTCCTTATATGTAGAGTTTGTGCTTCTACAGTACATACTAGACATTTTAGTCCAAAGTCCATTTGTTGATTTTATAAAAATTTATAAACATCATATATTGCATATTTTTGGAAGGGTAACTTTGAATAATTATATTATTGCACTAAACACTTTTTTGATAAAACTACTCACTGCATTCTTTTTTTATGTGCTAATTTTAATATCTGAGTGTTATGGAAAGGATTTTAGTTTACACATGTGTTCCCTGAGATTATTTGAAAATGTTGAAAATTCGTTGCATAATACGTTGTGTATTTTTTTTCTCCTTTTCTGTTTAGGGTGTGATGGTGAAACTTGGACCAGTTGCAGCCCTTTCTATAACCATTTCATAAATAAATTTATAAGCAAATTGAACAACTTTTAATTTAAAAAGATTATGCCCCCTTTCTCTACGGCCATTTTTTTTTATATAAAATCAGTCATTTTCGGAGTTAAAGACTGAAATTTTTCAAAGACAATTTATAGATAAAATCTTCTTAGAAGTTTGTTAAGAGTTCTTATGGGAGAAATTCCAATTTTTTCAGAGTTCTTTCAGAGAATAAACGTCATCAACAGATATTTTAGACTGTATTCGTTTAAGTAGAGTTCTTACTTAGAAACGAGTATGTTTATATAACTAAAACTGTAACATTACCCGGTCATCCCCCTCCCCCTCCCTCCCTCCCCACATCACCGGTTCCGACCACACACCCCAACTCACCACCGTAATCTTAACTTAGTGTCTCCATAATATCTGAACCATCCCTCCCCCTCTCTACCTGGTACCTTACACGCCTCTCCTTCATGCATAAATCCGTACAACAATTTATATTTCAGACATCGTATTGTTTTTTTCCTTTACATTAAACCAGTCAGTTTTACACAAATCAACCGAGGCGTCTCAAAGTATCCTTTAATACTTAAGTTGCCTCCGAGGCTACCTAAGCCGCCGCCGGCATCCTGCCCCGAGGCCTTCAACACCTGATTACCTGCCCGCCATCCGTCAGTCATTGGCAGAGTTCACCACCGTAATAATTTATATATATATATATATATATATATATATATATATATATATATATATATATATATATATATATATATATATATATATATATATATATATATATATATATATATATATACATTAGGCATTAATAAAACGTATTTATTTATTTATATTTTTATTTATTCATTCATTTAATTTTAGTTTACACAAATTATAATAAACGACTCATTTATCCTGAAGTTAACAGAAGCTCAGAAGAAATTACAGAAGAAGTTAACAGAAGATAATTTGGTATTATGGAAGCAGGAGCGACGTATGCTCCTGGGAGCAAGTGCAGTGTGCGACTAAGGGAAGGGAGCTCCCGGCAGCCAGAGATTTATTGGGTGGACTCGTCCATTGTGGGGAAGTACTCATCTCAGTACAGTTGGCGTGCAGGATAGGACATTGTGCAGTGGAATTTAATCTTATATAAATATTATCTGTATTTGATAGGATAATATGTTATTATAGTATGGTAATGAAATTACAGGTTCGTGTCTGGTGAGGTTTGTGTCTGGTGAAATTTTTGTATAGTCGATCTTCGATGGTATAGTCGTACTTCAAGTGTAATGGAACTAGACATGTATGATATAGCCTATGTAGAGGAACTTCATATATATGGCGGAGCTTCGAGTAATGGTGGTACTTAGAGGACGTGTTTCGTCGTTGTTTGAAGCAGCAGTAATATTGAAGAGGCTGCAGGAGTACGTTCCTAACTTGAGGACCCATTGATGAATGGTCATAGTACTGGGCCTCAGGACGTAATATGGAGAGTTATATGGACACCATTACTTCTTGAGGTTATCTTGAGATGATTTCGGGGCTTTTTTTTTTTAGTGTCCCCGCGGCCCGGTCCTCGACCAGGCCTCCACCCCCAGGAAGCAGCCCGTGACAGCTGACTAACACCCAGGTACCTATTTACTGCTAGGTAACAGGGGCATTCAGGGTGAAAGAAACTTTGCCCATTTGTTTCTGCCTCGTGCGGGAATCGAACCCGCGCCACAGAATTACGAGTCCTGCGCGCTATCCACCAGGCTACGAGGCCCCAGGCTACCGTTTGAGGGAGTATATGAACTCATATGTTACGAGTGATGCAGCGTAAGGTGAGGACGTTAATATTTTCTTGTTTGAGTTAGTATGGTAGTCGCCTGGCCCAGACGGCGAGGAGGCAGGAGGTTGCTGGCGAATATTAAGCGGCAGCCGCGCATAGTCTACGTGTTGGAGCACTGGTAGTATATAAGCGTGATGCTAGTTTGTTGCACCTGATGATACTCTCCTGCTATTTGTCATTCTTTGTAATTTTATAATTATGTTTGTCTATAGATAACTTGTTTTGTACTTCTCCTGGTAACAGTCTTTCTTGTAAACAGATGTTGTTAAATGTGACCGAAAAAGTAAGATTAATAATTCTAACACGAATTTTCTCAATATTCTTTTGTTTCTTTTGTTTCAATATTTCTTTTTACTGTCGATGGTAATTGAAAAATCAATTCTCCAAAATTCATTTTTATTTTTAGTCTGACGTGACACTTGAATGCGTTTCATAATAACTTATTACATTTTCAAAGACTTTAGTTTACACACACACAATTGAAACCTGAAAACACTAAACAGAGTTTTACTTAATGCTAACATTGAACAGCTTGTCTTATATACTCGCATTTGGGTGAGGTGATATGCTGCAACAGTTTTAGATGAGGTGAACAAACTTTTGACCAACTCTACACAGAACACGGTGCAATGGGTATAAACTGGATAAATGAGAGGGAAGAATGGAAGTAACTGCAAAGGGCCTATTGGCCCATACTTCCTCTTGATGCTTCTATATTGGTACAGAGTCTTGAAGTAGGTAGAATATAGTTGTGCATTAATTGGCTGCTGACGAGGTCGAAGGCCTTCGTCAGATCTATGAAGGCTACGAAGAGTGGCCACTTCTGTTCCCTGAATTTCTCCCGCAGTTGTCTGAGGGAAAAGACCATGTCGATGGTGGACCTGTCAGAGGAGAGTGATTTGTGGTGTCACACGAGGCTCCTGTCTAGGGCGTTCCCCTTTTATCGTTCGTGGAGTGGCCGTACCAGCCTTGTTGGCTCAGAACCTGCCAGCAGACCAGCTGGACGTGTGGTTGACGGCCTCCACGGCGGTGCCCCCAGTGGACATGTGTTTTGGCTGACCTGTGGCCAGGGTAGGCTCAGCTTCTTTGAAGAATTCGTTGTGTGGCCACGAAGAAAGCACCGAGGACTCAGCGCCTAGCTTCTGGATCCAGAGTCTTCAGCAGAAGACTACATTGTGAAGAATCCCCTTGTCGAGTGTTAATACCCCTCCCCCTTGTGCACTCATTTATTTTATATATTTAATCGGTGATGGTAATAATTATAATATTAAGTTCTTAGCTTTCTTTCCCTACTCCCTTTAAGTTACTTGCGTCACGGATCTCATCCCTTGATAGCCACTACTGGCTTGGGAACGGATATATATATCTTCCCCTAATATCAGAGTAAGGACCCCGTTGCGTCCCGAGAGGGCCGTAACAAGTGTTTATTCCCATATTTAGAAACATCAGTGAGACTTTTCCCATAAATAGAATTTGATACGAGTTTGAAAGTTTTTTTAATCGCACATTTGGTGTGGGACGTTCTCGAACATTGGTTTCAATGAAGTCTTTAAGATAACTCTTCTGCTGAAATTCGTAGATGTCGTGAACTTTAGTTACTTCTAACCCGATGCGCATGAGCAACTCTAACGAATCAAGGCTGACTAGGTAATCTTTCTGAGGGAGATGAGAAGCGATTAATTTAGTGTTGTTTTAGGCATCCCACGCCTTTCATCTCTAAGAATATTCTTACTGTAGGGTGAAATATGTTTCTCAGTAATATCAGCATGGGAAAGAACTAGGGGCAGCTCATCAGTGTATCTGTCCACCTCTGGACTAACCTGTAATGTATCACACAACACCCAGTAACCAGTGTCTCCATCGCAGGGGATATTCTCCAAGAACAGAACAAGAGCTCTAACAGAACCTTACACTCATTCTGAGTCAGCTTCCGGATTCCACCTCGAGGGAGCGGTTCAGTCATACACGCCCCATAAAGGCTGTTAAAGTCCAGGTAGATGATGTAGCTACTATCATCCCCCAGATCTAAACCTGTGTGATGGTTCTCTACACTCGTGTGCTGTTTAGTGACACTGGTGAACCCACCTCGGAGATTGCGTCGTAGTAAATCGTATAACAGCGGGTCGGACACTACATCGAGTTCAACTTTAGATTTAAACAAAAATGCATCCCAAGCGAACGATGGTAGAGAAATGTAGTGGGAAATGTCCAATTTGTAGAGAGGGAGCATGGCATCTCATCAGACAGTGAACACATCAGCCAACAACCCAGTATCTACTTTGAGGTAAAGAAGTAGGTAGTCTCCAATGTTGCGACATTGAGCTAGATCGAAAATTTCTATCGCCTGCTTGTAATCGTTTTCTGACAACTCTTCATCCTTCAATGTGTTGTAAAACTGATCACGCGAAGGAAGCTGTGGTTCATCCAACACACTCATAGAGGACAAGTAATCATAGCAGAACGACTGTTTCCCCTTTAACAGTTTAGGGATTGCATCTTTATTTACTCCCTGTAACATAGCCAATGTGAAGGGGTAGGTTTCCCACTATCGATGTGATTCTTGGCTATCCTTCCTAGTGATCCGTTGAGAAGGGCTAAACTATCCAAAAATAGCAACTTGTTCACATCCACTTTCATAAATTTAAATCCGTCCCTAGCTAATATATCTATTTCAATCCCCCGGTCTGTCTTTATCTCATTTAGGATAACCCCTAAATCATAGCTGGCGTTGTGTGAAAAAGTGTAAAGGAACTTATACGAATTTATACATTGTAAATTACATCTATCGCAGTAAGCCGTTTTACAATTGTGCTGTCTTATTGTATGATCGTGATGACGGACTTTGATCACATCTATACCGTTAAAAGGTTCATCGCAGAGCTCGCAGGAAGTTTTTGTCTCAAATAAAGCTTGTTGTTAAGGGGACATGTCAAGTTCATAGGTTACTATCCCTCTCTTAATCCTAGCCCAAGAGGATTTTAGTGAGTTTATAAAGTGATTGACTACTTCTTTACCTAAATAGATATCTGTCTCGACAATATTCATCTGTCTGTCAATGATGCTATAGGCATAAGCTACCGCATTATGGCGCGATTCTATCATCCCTTTAGGGTTAGAGCGATCCAGCAGACGCTCGAAATCATAAAAACAGAGGTGGCTAGGTCCTTACCCACGACTGTAGTCGCGGAAAGTAATCTTCCTCTCTGGAGGATAAAATTTAAGAGTTTGATGTACTTTACAGGAACCTTCGTGGGCTTGCATACGATGGGGTGAGAGTGAAATCAAACAAGAATGGCAAAAGGTGTGCTGCTTAGGGATGCGCGAGCCATTGTTGTGCATATTGCGCACATACTGGTTAAAGTCTTTAATTAATACCAGATGTTGGCCCTCCAGCATTAACAGAGAGGTGATGTCTTTATATTCCCCCCTTCCTTTCCTGGCAAGAGCAATGAAGTGACGCCTCGTATTTTCGTCCCTTTCAAGTGTATAAATGAAAATCTGGACCTTGTTGAGTTTTCCACTTTTGCAATATCCTCAAATGTTACTGGGGAACTAACATCACCTGGCAGTTATTCTGTCTTAGCTCGTTTCGCCGCAACGTTTACGAATATTATCTAGATGCTGACCCTTAGCCAAGCATTCGTAAGCTGCAAAACATTGCATAAAGCAGGTACCATCCTCCCCTGCTGGATTGAAAACAAGGCGTTCCCGCGTAATCCTTTGGGGAAGACTACATGAGAACCTATTAAGTGTATAGGGCGTTCAATTTGAGTGCAGTTGATGTAAAACCCTGTTAGGCATTCAACTACGACATTAGACCCCTCTCGCTCACCTAAATAACGTGCAATCTTCCCTTCTAATTCGTCAGCCCAAAAATCCACCAGGGTGTCCACTTCCTCTAACGTCACTGTTCGAGCCTCTCCACGTATCGGAAATCCGTCATTATTGATGGGATCCATTTTCCTCTTCTTTACGTACATTTAAATTGCATACAATCAATGTAATATCCGGGTATATTAACAGTAAAGGATGGCGGGGGGAGAACTGACTTCTAATCTGATCGATAAACATTTTTTTAAATGTTTTTAAATACATTCCCGGGGAAGAGCTTGCAGTCTCGGGGACCGAAATTGAAAGTGTAATATTTGCTTTATTATAATTTTCTATTCGGTCTATAACTTGAGGTTGTACCGCTTGTGGTTGTGGAGGAGGAGAAGGAGAGTGAGTGGAAGGGTACAGAGAAGTTATACCTCCTCCTCCCCGATCCTGTGAGGATGTAGAAGGAGAGTCTTGTGGTACTATACTTTCGTCTTCAGAGAGAAAGAGGGAGGATAATGATGATGCTGGTGATATAGGATTGGAACAATAACTACCTTCACTACTGGTGTTTCAGGGTCCAAGGCCCGGAAACGGTTGTGAGTCTGAGGAAGGTGGGAAGGACGAGGAGAGGAAGAGTGCAACACGCGAGCATAAGAGATATTAGCATAAGGCGGGAGCCGGCGAACCTGGCGCCTCACCTCAGGAAAAGATAAACGCTCCCGGTGCTTCAAGTTAAGGACGGCTGCCTCAAGCCCTCGTGGTCATAAGGAGTTTGAAGTCACTTGTTCCCCCAATCCGTTTTCTCCTCTCCTTCCATCTTCCCAATGACGAATTGGAAATAGTACCTCAGGGCCAATAAACTTGTGCTCTCAAATTACACGTGGGTGCCCAGCCAACGTTTCCCACAGGACATTCGTTGGTGCTGTCCCAGTTACTGGAGTTTTCTGTCAAGAGGAATTGACCCTTATGGTCAAGCCTGGTTCTGATTGGTTGAAACAAAGGAGGCCTGTGGAGGCGGGGTCCCCCAGGATAGTGCCTGGCCATGCCATTGGCCAAGCTTCAAGAACACCCAGGTGTGTTTAAATCCATTGGCCATAGGCTTGGAATAGGCAGAGTTAAATTGAGCCTAGGAACTAAGTGGAGGAAGCCTGTCCCGCTGGTAAGCGTTTTTAGAAAATATTAGTGTGTCTTAGGGCCTCAACTGGGGTACAGATCAGGTGACCTGTGGGCAGCCAATCAACATCCTTTGGCAAGCTGCAGTATTGAAGGTAATTGTGCACTTGAGATTTCATGTATTTCAGTATTTCATTCCATTGCCTCGTAGGGATTTAGAGTAGGCTATATTTTCAATTTTGACTTAAATATACGGGTTCCAATAATAAAGTAATTTAATGTATTTGTGTTTAGTTATTTGTTCCCTTTGATTAAGGCTGTATTGTTCATTCTTGTTTGTGGTTTTCATTTGCTGTGCTAGAAATTGCCCTGTGTTCTCCTCCATTTTATGGATATTAAAGTTGCCCTTGAACTGAAATAAGCAAAGTAAATTAAACAAACTAATTCCCAAGATTTATTACTGAAGGTCCTATTGCCCGGGAGTTCCATGATTGCTGATTCCTTGCCTTCCTGGGGGATCGGTGATAGACACATTCAGGTATGGTTGGTCGGGAAGGTGGTGGAAATGTCTAATGAGTTGTTAATTATTAGTTATAAATTAATAACCCCTATTCTTGTTGAACCCTCCTCATTTAATATTCAGCTTATATTCGTGGCAGTTGAGTGAGGGGTCATACTGGACTGTAACAGTGTTAAGCTGGGGTATTGAGTGAAGAGGGGTAGAAAGAGAGAAGTAAGGAAACAGTTATTATTACATTGGCAGTTTTCATTACTATTACACCTACACCCTGGGCCTTCATCCTGGACCTGCACCCTGACCTGTACCCTGGCCCTGCACCCTGACCTGTACCCTGGCCCTGCACCCTGACCTGTACCCTGGCCCTGCACCCTGACCCTGACCTGTACCCTGGCCCTGCACCCTGACCTGTACCCTGGCCCTGCACCCTGACCTGTACCCTGGCCCTGCACCCTGACCTGTACCCTGGCCCTGCACCCTGACCTGTACCCTGGCCCTGCACCCTGACCTGTACCCTGGCCCTGCACCCTGACCTGTACCCTGGCCCTGCACCCTGACCTGTACCCTGGCCCTGCACCCTGACCTGTACCCTGGCCCTGCACCCTGACCTGTACCCTGGACCTGCACCCTGACCTGTACCCTGGCCCTGCACCCTGACCTGTACCCTGGCCCTGCACCCTGACCTGTACCCTGGCCCTGCACCCTGACCTGTACCCTGGCCCTGCACCCTAACCTGTACCTGTACCCTGGCCCTGCACCCTGACCTGTACCCTGGCCCTGCACCCTGACCTGTACCCTGGCCCTGCACCCTGACCTGTACCCTGGCCCTGCACCCTGGCATGTACCCTGGCCCTGCACCCTGACCTGTACCCTGGCCCTGCACCCTGACCTGTACCCTGGCCCTGCACCCTGGCATGTACCCTGGACCTGCACCCTGACCTGTACCCTGGCCCTGCACCCTGACCTGTACCCTGGCCCTGCACCCTGACCTGTACCCTGGCCCTGCACCCTGACCTGTACCCTGGACCTGCACCCTGACCTGTACCCTGGCCCTGCACCCTGACCTGTACCCTGGCCCTGCACCCCTGTACCCTGGCCCTGCACCTGACCTGTACCCTGGACCTGCACCCTGACCTGTACCCTGGACCTGCACCCTGGGCCTTCATCCTGGACCTGCACCCTGACCTGTACCCTGGCCCTGCACCCTGACCTGTACCCTGGCCCTGCACCCTGACCTGTACCCTGGCCCTGCACCCTGACCTGTACCCTGGCCCTGCACCCTGACCTGTACCCTGGCCCTGCACCCTGACCTGTACCCTGGCCCTGCACCCTGGGCCTGCACCCTGGATCTGCACCTTGGCCTGCCCTGGCCCTGCACCCTGGGCCTGCACCCTGGATCTGCACCTTGGCCTGCCCTGGCCTGCACTCTGGACCTGCTCCCTGGATCTGCACCTTGGCCTGCCCTGGGTCTGCACCCTGGGCCTGCACCCTGGACGTGCACCCTGGTTCTGCACCTTGGCCTGCCCTGGGCCTGCACCCTGGGCGTGCACCCTGGATCTGCACCTTGGCCTGCACCCTGGACCTGCACCCTGGATCTGCACCTTGGCCTGCACCCTGGATCTGCACCTTGGCCTGCACCCTGGATCTGCACCTTGGCTTGCACCCTGGACCTGCACCCTGGATCTGCACCTTGGCCTGCCCTGGGCCTGCACCCTGGACCTGAACCCTGGATCTGCACCTTGGCCTGCACCCTGGATCTGCACCTTGGCTTGCACCCTGGACGTGCACCCTGGATCTGCACCTTGGCTTGCACCCTGGACGTGCACCCTGGATCTGCACCCTGGATCTGCACCTTGGCTTGCACCCTGGACGTGCACCCTGGATCTGCACCTTGGCTTGCACCCTGGACGTGCACCCTGGATCTGCACCTTGGCTTGCACCCTGGACGTGCACCCTGGATCTGCACCTTGGCTTGCACCCTGGACGTGCACCCTGGATCTGCACCCTGGATCTGCACCTTGGCTTGCACCCTGGACGTGCACCCTGGATCTGCACCTTGGCCTGCCCTGGGCCTGCACCCTGGATCTGCACCTTGGCCTGCACCCTGGATCTGCACCTTGGCTTGCACCCTGGACGTGCACCCTGGATCTGCACCTTGGCTTGCACCCTGGACCTGCACCCTGGATCTGCACCTTGGCCTGCCCTGGGCCTGCACCCTGGACCTGAACCCTGGATCTGCACCTTGGCCTGCACCCTGGATCTGCACCTTGGCTTGCACCCTGGACGTGCACCCTGGATCTGCACCCTGGATCTGCACCTTGGCTTGCACCCTGGACGTGCACCCTGGATCTGCACCTTGGCCTGCCCTGGGTCTGCACCCTGGGCCTGCACCCTGGACCTGCACCCTGGATCTGCACCTTGGCCTGCCCTGGGCCTGCACCCTGGATCTGCACCTTGGCTTGCACCCTGGACGTGCACCCTGGATCTGCACCTTGGCCTGCACCCTGGACGTGCACCCTGGACGTGCACCCTGGATCTGCACCTTGGCCTGCCCTGGGCCTGCACCCTGGACGTGCACCCTGGACGTGCACCCTGGATCTGCACCTTGGCCTGCCCTGGGCCTGCACCCTGGGCCTGCACCCTGGATCTGCACCTTGGCCTGCCCTGGGCCTGCACCCTGGATCTGCACCTTGGCCTGCCCTGGGCCTGCACCCTGGATCTGCACCTTGGCCTGCCCTGGGCCTGCACCCTGGCTTGCGGGGGTTGGCCAGGGTGCATGATAAGACAACTAACACTGTGGGGATGCATGGTAGGTGTGCAACATTACCCTTGTGGTCAGCATCATAATTGCTGTTTATTGTAGGAAAATGTGCTTGTACCTTGTTATATATATCAGTGATGATGTAATTAACTTACAAGTACGAGTAATTAAAGGTTTAATGTATTACACAACCAGGTTACAATGGCCGTCTATGAACGATGTAATTGTGCATTCCATTGATCATATTTGTGTAATAAATGAAAACTTATTTATATTAAAAGTCGTAGGATATAATGATCTTGTACTTTCTTAATAAGATGTAGTTATATAAGAGTTTTGAAGAGGGTTGAGGGCGGGGTGCGCACGGCGCTGCTCCTCTCCTGCGGGAAGGGGACGTTTGCCTCCAGTCTGTGTTGTACTCCCGCCGTCCTCCTTCACTCCCGAAATCGTGGTCTTCCCGTGGGACTTGTATAAGGTAGGTGAGGGTGTGAGGAGTGTGAGGGGTGAGGTGGGGCAGGCGGCAAGGGTGTGAGGGAGGGGTGAGGAGGGTGACATGACGCACCATAACACACACCAAAAGCCCCGGCCCCGATTGTTGTGGCATCGTCTGGGGTGGCTGGCGGCCACCTGGGGATGGGATTTTGATGCTAATGCAAAATCCCACACTGGTAAGGTGGCCCAGGTGTGTGGCCCTCCTGAGGCTTGCGTGGCCTCTAGTGAGGTGAGGGGTGGTGTGGGGGTCCATACCAGGGCATACACCAGTGTATACAGGTTGGTCCATACTGGGGTGGTCTCTCTACCAACTTGGTCTATACCAGGTTGGTCTATACTGGGGGTGGTCTCTATAGGGTCATTCCATGTGAATTCACCAAATAGCACTAGACCCCAAATGAATTTGCAAAATATTAGAGCTCAATCTGCTTTGGTGCTTAAATAACAGGTGCATGTTCAATGGGCTCTCGTGCCGTTAATGCGTAGAAAGGGCCAACTTTGACCCTGTATCAAATCACGTCTAGTGCCCAGAGAGGTGTGAAATTTGGCATACCTGGACAACTTTTGGTGCAGAATACAGCAGTGTAATAAAAAATAAAGTTTGGATAGCCATTCAGCTACCAATCCATGCTAAAATCACTGCCAAATTTTTTTGTGAGAAATTTGGACCCCAATTTGGAGACCACTTACTCATCACTAAAAGGTCTAAATGCCATGATCTTTTGCAACGATGTATAACACGCACAATATTATGCAGTGATGCAATAGCAACTCTGTTGTATCCTTATGTTCAGAGGTGCCCCACTTGAAAGTTGGCCCAAAAAATGTTTTTGCACAAAACTAGCCAACTTTCAAGGCAAAATATTTCAATGTGTGTCATTCCCAATTTGGTTTTGAATGACAATATTGGATAGAGCAGTTTTTTCTGTACAAAAGTAACTTTTATTTAGGTTGCGATCTGAATTCCTAGTTCAGCAAGAGGACTCTAAAAATGATGTACAGTGGGGCCTCGATTTACGATGGTAATCAGTTCCCAGAGACGTATTGTAAGTCGAAGCGATTTTTCCCATAAGAAATAAAGGTAATTAAATTAATCCGTTCCCCACCCTCCAAAATATTTACTTACAAATACAGCGACACTTTGACTTACGATTGCCCCGACTTACAATAATTTCGAGTTACGATGTAAATTTGATCGAAAAATGCGACTCGACTTACGATAGTGTTGTCGACTAAAGATATTTGTTGGTATATGTTTGGGTCGACCGAGTGTGTGGTTCCTGGTCACGCGGGCCGACCTGCCTCATTTTACTAGAGCTGCCTGCTTAGTGACGATCACGCCTATAAGAAATTCCGTTTTTGTGGCAATTTTTTGCTTTTTGAACATAAAACTGATTATTGTATATCATGCCATGGGTCCCAAGAAAGTCAGTGGTAAGGTTCAACCTAAGAAAATAGTTGTGAGTAAAGGCAGTAGAGGATGTCCCTTCCTCATTAAGAAAATGTGTGAAGTATGAATCCAGAAAGAATGGAAATTAATTCCATGTCAACAAAGTTTTCGATTGGGCAGCAGAAAATAACATGATGTTTAACAGTGATAAATTTCAGGTACGGCAAAAATGAGGATCTGAAACATAATACAGGGTACAAAACACAATTGAATCTTAAGCAGGCAGCTCTAGTAAACTGAATTAGGTTGGCCCGCGTGACCGGGAACCACACACTCGGTCGACCCAAATGTGTACCAACAAATATCGTTAGTCGATGACACTATCGTAAGTCGTCGCATTTTTCGATCAAATTTGCATCGTAACTCAAAATTATCGTAAGTCAGGGCAATCGTAAGTCGTGCCACTGTACCTTGGTGCGATACCGAAAAAATCAAATTATGATTCTCCATCTTCTTTGTGCACTGATCATGACTTTTTTTCTTTCCATTCTTTCTGGGACACATTCCATTAAATTCTTCACTCTCAAAAAACTGTACTACCATTTCCTTCCCTTCTTCAGGAACTGACTTGCCCTGCATTTTCAAATAAATAAAATAAATAAATAAATCTTATATCTTTGTAGTATCGTGTCAGCAGGTCAAACATTGCTGTTTACTTATTTGTGTATTTACTTGCAATAAATACACAAATAAATAAAAAGCAATATTAATGTATTACAGGTCTCACTTGAAATTACTGAATTCAGTTAAATAATTTTATTTGAATTCGATTGCAGATACGTCATGAATCGGGATTCCATTGGTTTATTGCCATGTACTATTGCTAGCCATGAGTGTGGCTCTTCTGAATGTCACTTGACAACCTACACTCCTAAAAGAGGCTTGAAGTTTCTAAAACAGTATAGTGCAGAAGATCAAAAACTGATAGCAAAGCGAAGTGGACTGAACTTGGATGGAGAATCTCAAGTATGCCTCCATGATGAAGCTTTGCTGTTGACAAAATTTGAATTTTTGCAAAAAACTTGCTGCAATCCCTTCAAGAAGAAATGCCATGTAAAGCGAAAAGATTTGCGACCAATCACAGTAGCTACTGCAGAGAAAATGTTAGATATGCTGAAAGTCAGTATTAAGCCTGGCCAAAAGTTGTGCACATCATGAAGAAAGAAATTCGACAGTAAGCAGGTAAGTGAGTGAACAAATCCACAAGGGCCGTGACGAGAGTTCGAACCTGCGTCCGAGAGCATCCCAGACGCTGCCTGAATTGACTGAGCTATGACATGGTCAAAAGGAGTTGAAACCAAAGTTCTACTGAACTTACTGGATCTTGCAGCCTCTCTGAGGCACAAACTAGGGTTTTACACAACTCCCCCCATGCATTCAAGCTATGTCAATAGGCCGTTCTCCCTCTTCGCCCTTACTTCATTACATACAGAAATTACAATTGCGTGATGCATCAAATGAACAAATCCACAAGGGCCGTGACGAGGATTCGAACCTGCGTCCGTGAACATCCCAGATGCTGCCTTAATGGACTGAGCTATGACATGGTCAAGCTGGATCCAAGCTACGACAGGCTGCAGGATCCAGTAAGTTCAATAGAACTTCGGTTTCAACTCCTTTTGACCATGTCGTAGCTCAGTCGATTAAGGCAGTGTCTGGGATGCTCTCGGATGCAGGTCTCCGATTGCTGCAATTGGAAATATTGATTGCCAAAACCTGTTGGTACCAAGCTCTAGCCAACAGTGCACAAATTGCCAAGACTTCAACAAACTCACTGAAGAAATAAAGCTAAAATTCCATGTAGCAAGAAAAAATACAAATCCTAACCCTCGTGCCACAAAGCTGGTCTATCAAAAAGACAATGGAGCAATTCAAAGTTTCAGAATACATGGTTCGTGAAGCTAGGAAGCTGAAAGAAGAACAGGGAATACTAGCAATTCCTAAGAAAATGCAGGGCAAGTCAGCACGCAGGGCTTGTGATCCTGTGGTCCAGGGTTCGATCCCAGGCGCCGGTGAGAAACAATAGGCAGAGTTTCTTTCACCCTATGCCCCTGTTACCTAGCAGTAAAATAGGTACCTGGGTGTTAGCTGTCACGGGCTGCTTCATGGGGGTGGAGGCCTGGTCGAGGACCGGGCCGCGGGGACACTAAAAAAAGCCCCGAAATCATCTCAAGATAACCTCAAGAAGGGTAGCACAGTTTTTTGAGGGTGAAGAATTTAGTGGAATGTGTCCTGGAAAGAATGGACAGAAAAAAGTCATGATCAGTGCACAAAGAAGATGGAGAATCATAATTTGATTTTTTCTATATAGCACCAAGGTATGTCATTTTCAGAGTTCTCTGGCGGAACTAGGCATTCAGATCCCAACCTAAATAAAAGTTATTCTTGTACAGAAAAATGTCTCTTATCCAATGGCGTCATTCAAAACCAAATTGGGAATGACGCATATTGAGATATTTTGATTTGAAAGTTGGCTAGTTTTGCACAATTTTTTTTTTTTTTTTTTTGGCAACTTTCAAGTGGGGCCACCTCTGGACATATGGATACAACAGAGTTGCTATTGCATCACTGCATAATATTGTGCTTGTTATACATTATTGCAAAACATCATGGCGTTTAGACCTTGTGTTGATAAGTAAGTGGTCTCCAAATTGGGGTCCAAATTTCTCGCGACAAAATTTGGCAGTGATTTTAGCATGGATGGATAGCTGAATGGCCACCCATACTGCCTTTTCGATTACACTACGTTATTCTACACCAAACATTGTCCTGGTATTTCAAATTTTACACTCCTACAGGCAATAGAAGTGATTTAACAAAGGGTCCAAGTTGGCAATTTTTGTGGTACTTACGCATTAACGGGACGAGAGCCCATTCAGTATGGACCTGTTATTTAAGCACCAAAGCAGATTGAGCTCTAATATTTTGCAAAGTGTCATATGGGGTCTAGGGCTATCTTACTACGAAATTTCATGGCATTTGGAGAGGGTCGAGTGGGAGCCATAGGTGACTTTTTGGTGATATGAGATGGAAATGACCCTATACCAGGTTGGTCTGTACTGGGGTGGTCTCTATACCAGGTTGGTCTATACTGAGGTGGTCTCTATACCAGGTTGGTCTATATTGGGGTGGTCTCTATACCAGGTTGGTCTATACTGGGGGTGGTCTCTATACCAGGTTGGTCTATACTGGGGTGGTCTCTATACCAGGTTGGTCTATACTGGGGATGGTCTCTATACCTGGTTGGTCTATACTGAGGTGGTCTCTATACCAGGTTGGTCTATACTGGGGTGGTCTCTATACCAGGTTGGTCTATACTGGGGTGGTCTCTATACCAGGTTGGTCTATACTGGGGTGGTCTCTATGCCAGGTTGGTCTATACTGGGGTGGTCTCTATACCAGGTTGGTCTATACTGGGGTGGTCTCTATACCAGGTTGGTCTATACTGGGGTGGTCTCTATACCAGGTTGGTCTATACTGGGGTGGTCTCTATACCAGGTTGGTCTATACTGGGGGTGGTCTCTATACCTGGT